ATTAAATATTAATGATTATTAAAAATGATTCACAGACAGACAAACTTTTATCATAGTTCTTGATTTAAGCTATGAGTCTCTACAAGTTGGTCCCTGAAAACCAACCCACAAAGACTCATCATATCCGCAGACACTCTTTCACGGCTGCCAGCACCATCTTTGTTTTGTCATGGCCTATACTCAAGATGAAAAGCCTTTACTGGTCCCATTCTGTGGCTGAAACTCGGGCTCAAGCGCCCCATGTAATGACATTCTAAAATGAGATGTCGGACCGCGGTCACGTTGAATGACTCCTAGCCTACATAATGTCTCCTCAAATGAGAAACAAGACGGAAAAACAACATTTTCCCTCAGCAGTTAAAACATAATTCTAACCTGCTTGCGCTCACCACAGATAGCACAGCTGTTATCACAGGCTACATAAAAAAACAGAAAACTGAGCTCCCTGCTTTTTAAACTCGATGTGGAATGAATCGTTCCCACACCTACACTCAGCTAGCGTCATTACAGCCTCAGAAAGACCAGATCAGCRYCTAAAAATTATAATTTCAATGTGTGCGGGCCGAAATATTAGCCGCAGCTGTTTAGCATAACGTGCTAATGAAAAYATTAGCTCACCGTGTTTCCGTCGACAGTCAGGTTCTTTATAGCTCCAGTCCTGAAACACCACCCACAGCGGTCGACTGCATGACAGACTCACAAAACCCGGAGACGAAACAGCAGACAAAAAACCAAGTCAGTCTCCGCTGCCTCCATGTTCCGGGGAACGTCCCAGACAGACAGTCGGCCGCTGCGAGCCGTCGCACGGTCCTTGAAGCTCCATATTGACAACGCCAAAATTCTGTTGTCGCAAAGGCAGAAACATGTTGGAATAAACCAGAAGAGTCTGCGTATATGATAATCAAATATGGTTTAATTAATGAGCAACAACCAAAACAGAACTGAATCAGGAAGGTTCTGTCTGCTTGCTACTGGAGTCGTCAGCAGAACACAGCCAATAATATACATCGTGTCAACACCATGAGACAGTTTACAACCAATCACAGATCGCCAAATGTACTGTTCAGCCAATCACAAGGCTCACACCCAAAGAGTCTGTTAAAGTTCAGTGCCTTGTGGAGACGACCGGAGCCTCCAGAGAGATATGAGAGATGAACAGTGTCAAGGGGAAAACAGATAAATAATTAGTCCATGACAATCCCTCCTCTTGAGTAAACAATACTCAAAACCAAACCAAATGGAATAATTATGAAATATCCAAACAAATACATCACACAACAAACAGACACAATGGAGAAATGGTAAGTGAAACATCAGAAACTCATCAGGAGAAAAACATGTCGAAATTTAAAAAACTCAAAAGCCCAAAGTTAGACAAGGTATCACAACACAAGTTCTGCCTCCCAGCGAATCTGATTGCGTGAGCCGCCTATGTTCCATCAGAATCTTATCTTGGATGAAGTGTTAACTTAATAACAACTAGTTGTCAATTAATGAACCTTAAATAATTCAAATTAGGACAATGTGCCAACGTCAGTACCCACCCCAGTGAAAACAGAATCAGTTAAAAACAAAACCCACAGTGCCCATAAGGCATGAACAGAGAATGCATGGATTACTGGCATGAGCTGGCTTGTGCAAGGAAGAGAAGAACACAAAAAATAAATGTGTAACAAAAAATAACAAACAAAAGCTAAACCTAAAGTCTAAATAAATTAAACTAAAGGTAATAGCACCCCCTCCTCTTGTCACACCTAAGCTAAAGTAAGCCTAGATCTAGTCCTCCTGTGAATGACAGACGCTGTTTGGACAGCAACTCTCAGCTCCCCGTGCCTCAACAACAAAACCCAGACGGGCTAACTCTCCCTCAAATACGTCTTTGTGGGCACCAGGCTCCAGGTAGTAGAA